AGTTACATATTCATAATATCTGTCGAGGGTATGTACCTAACCTCGTTCTTTTGACAGGCGGCGCGATCCGAGACCCGGGGATCCTGGCTGGGGGGGGCCCCTTGATGGCGGCAGGAGAGGTGGTTCTTTCTGTGCAGCGAGCAGCCCCTGCCCTCTGCCCGGGACTGTCATGCGAATGTGCCCTGGAGGGTTAAGATTCCTGCTGTGCAGTTGGGGAAACTGAGGCCGACACGCCCAAGGTCATGCAGCTGCGGGGCGGCGGCGAACCGGGCTGGAATCTGGGTCCTCGGGTGGCAGCGGTCCCCCGATTGCCAGGCCTCTGTGCACCCTTCCCGCAGCCTCGTGGGCGCTGGGCCTAGGGAGTCCCGGCAGGTGCCCCTGCAAATAGTCTTATTTGGGGGGAAAGCCGGACAGTGTGGGATGAAGAGTAGTGTTTTGCAAATCACTGTACGGGCCACAGCCCACAGCGCTGGCGTGTAGGTGGCTGGCCAAAGCAGATGTCAGCCCTGTTTTTGACCACGACACAGGGAACGTGAACGCCTACGGTGGGCAGCATTAAATCGGAGAGTTTTTAGCACCCAGGACAGTAGGGGTGTTTTGGGAAAGATGAGCTTGAAAAGGGTTTCTTTTATGTTATCGGGGTGTGTATGGCCGTGAAATTCACTGTTGACCTGTGCCCCATAATTCCGGCCCCAGGGATTAAAGTAAGCCCTGAGGAAAGTGCATAGTAATCCAGAAATAAACACCCCCCCCCCCCCCCACCGAAATGTTGGAAGATCTAGGGGTTTATGTTTTGGTTCCCTATTTTGCTAACGCTTCATGTTTGCCAACATTTGTTTGATTAGCAAGCGTTTTTGTGTGTGGGTGTTTGTCTTGGAGCTTTTATTCCTGTTTACATGGGACCACGTGGCGCAGGCCTGGACAGAGCCCCGGATGGGACCTGAGGCCTGGGCTCCAGTCTAAGTTTGGCCTTAGCTGGCCGTGGGATCCTGGTCTCAGTTACAAAAAAAACCCCCTCATCTATTCTAGAAAAGACCGGACTGCAGGGGCGAACCTGCTGGATGTCAGTGCACGGGGAGAACTCGGGGGTTCAGGGGAGCGGCCGGAGGATCTCTTGGTTCTTCAGGCAGAAAGATGTCCCCTGTCCCGCCGGGAAGTTGGGTGGAGGCGAATGGACGGGGCTCAGGCTGGCCAGGAGCAGGCTGCTTTCCCACCGCTGGTGGTCACCGCCACATCTGTCAGCCCGCTGACTGAGTTTTGTGATCCCTGCAACAACGTAGAATGTTTTTGCTGGTGCCGAACGCCGGGGCTTTCCAGAAACACAAGCTACAGGCTGTTGGCCCGGACTCAGGGCTCCCTGAGCCGACTGCTCCTGCGCGCGAGCTCACCACAGGCCCTGTGACCCAGACACACCTGTTTGCCAGCTGCTCCTGGGACAGGACAGTCCATGCACGCCGTGTGCCTGGTTTCCAGGAAGTCCCTGTCCTTTTGATGAAACCTTCCTCTGTATGCACGGGCCTCCCGAGGCACGCAGCATGGGTATACAAAAGGGACAAACCACACAGGTCATGGGGTCACGGGGCCCCCTCCCCCACAAGGTGCACTCCTGGGCAAGAGCATTTCCTGCCGCTGAGCTCGGCAGGGCGGCAGAGCGCTGCCCAAGGCGGGGCTGCCTTCGGGCTTCGATTTTTTTTGGACAAACAGTAATATATCCGCACCGTGTGGGAATAAAAGCGTACCCTCCTAATATTTCCGTATTCATTGGAGCCAGTAGTATTCTTTGCCCTGCCTTTTTGGGGAAGGTGCACTTAAAATAGTTGGAGGGGCTTGATGGGGGAAAAAAGGGCACATATGTAATACTTTCAACAATAAAGATAAAAAAAAGTTGGTATGTGCAAAGTTCCGCCAGGCAAGAACTCAGTTCGAAGCCTAGCCTTTGCCTGGAGGCAGTTGTGACCACAGGATGAGCACCTGGCTGGCATTTGTGCAAGCCCCTGGGAAAGTACTTTATTTTCTTATCCGTCCTGGGAGGCTGGGCCATGGGAGTGCCATCCCATTCTATAGATTCGAAGCTGAGAGGCTAGTAACTTGCTTGTGGTCACAGGTTAGCCTGCGGGGAGCTGGGACCTGAACACCAGCTGTCTGTGTAGGCAGGACCCCGGACCGGCCAGCTGGTACCCAGCCCTCCAGGAATTCCTGGGGTGGAGTGGGCGAGCGGGTGTCATACCAAAGTCACAGAAGCAGGGCATTCTTTTTGACCAAGACACCAACTTGGGCAGAGGGCTCTGGCCAGTGTGTGAAGAGAGGAAGCAAGCCCGGAGCTCAGTGAGGGTCAAATAATGAACAGCAGAGGATCGGGACCGAGGTCCGGCCGCCCGGTAGTTTAGGCGCCTCCGTCACCCACTGGCCAGGCCTTTGGGGCTCCTTGGCAGGGCCCTGCGGACACGGGTCACATGGGGCTGTCAGATCAGAGCGTTGCAAAACGCTGGAGGAGCCGAGCGGGCGCCCGTCTGACCTTCCTGACCCCCTTTTACCCTCTGGCGTCTCAGTGGGTTCAGTGACGGGGAGACCTTGACACGGAGCGGGTTAGAGGGTTCTGTTCTCTGAGGTCCTTACGACTTAGTAATCCATGCACATGTAGAAAGCGACACTCAGAAATCAGAACCAGCATGGTGGAAACGCACGCGATGAGAAGTGAGGCTCCCCTCCCCCAGGCCTGGCACCAGGTGGGCCTGTGAACGAAGCTCGCTTGGCATGGGAACCAGTCCAGGAGTTTTGTGTGCACATCAGGGTATGAGTACATGTAATTCTTCACAAGGGGGCTCATGTTGTAAGTACTTGTGTACTCCCCCCCCACCCCTAACGTGTACCTTTTCATGTTAGTTCCTGGAGCTACCTCTCCATTTTTTAAAAACAGTCTCATAATATCCCATCCTACGGTGTGGCTGGTCCATAATTCACGTAACCAGAGCCCTGGAGATGTTGACGTTGTTCCTGCGTTTCCCTGTCACGGTCAGTGCCGTGATGCTGTCTGTATATGGCTCTTGCAGAACTGCTGGGGTGCGCTAGGAGGTGCCGAGTGACAGCTGTTGCCCTGCCGCAACCCCCCCTCGCCCCCCACCTCAGTGCTCACCCTGTTTCTTACCCCACCAGCAGTGAGTGGTGGGTGTGCTGCCCCCATTTTCACCAACCCTGGGGGTTTCCGAAATGCATTGAATTTGGGCCACCTGCAAGGCCCCTTTGAGTTGCATGTGTTAAATTATGAATAGGGTTGAATATCTTCCCATGTAGCATTAACCAGATGGGTTCCTTCCCTTTCCTTCCTTCCTCTCTGAACTCGTTTTTCATTTTGCCCATTTTTCTGTTGGGTGGGGCTGAGGCCATCCTAAACTGACCCTGCTGTTCTAGAGGGGCCGGTGTGGGTTATGAAAGCTGTGGCCGGAGCTTTGAGTTTGGGCATTCGTTCAAGAAGCCCGTGTTCCTTGGCAATTTGTGAACCCTGGAGGAGGATCCTGCCAATTTGGGGACGAAATGCTGATATTTTTCTGATGTAACAACTAGGTGAGAAGTGGTGAGACCTCCATTGCCCAATCCTGACGGTGTCGGCGGCCCCGCCCTCCTGGGACCTCGGGGATTGGGGTGGCTACCGCTTTGGCGCATCTGAGAGGTGCCGGCAGTTGTACTGATTGGCTTCAGCGTGGGGCGCTCCCGCCCACCCATGTGGGGACCCTGGCCACTCTGTCTGCTCCCTGCAAGTCTGATTGTCTGGCGCCCACTGCTGCAGGGTGACAGGGCCCTCCGTCCTGACACACTCACTCCGCACGCCTGCCACTACCTCCTTCCTGCAGGATCTCCAGGAGCGGCCGTCCCCTCCTGGTCCCGAGCTGAGCTGGGATGAGCAGGAGCGCTGGCTTTGCCTGACCCGCTTCGTTCATTCAGGACTTTGGCGTGGCGACTCCAGGGCCCGCCGGCTTTGCTGCTGCGTCACTTCTGTCAGGAGGTCTTAGTCTGACCTGCAGGCTTTTTCAAAGCACCTCAAGCTTTTGTGGTGAATTTTCTGATTTTGGACGAGTGTCGCCGGAAGAACCCTGGCGAGCCAAGAAAGGGCCCGCATCCCGAAAGGTATGGCTGGCTCCGCTCTCTTGTTTAAGATGCCCCTGTGTGTGGGCTGTGAACTCAGGGGGCGGAGCGGCTGATGGACCCACACAGTCCCAGTCCGCAGTCCCAGTCCGCGGCTGTGTGTGCTGCCAGCGGTGCTGCCAGGTGTGCTGCCAGGTGTGGGTTGAGAGCAGGTACCTTGACTTTCAGCCTGGTGTTCGTTCCCCTGCATCGCGCTGCATCTAAGTCATTCTTCCTGTTGTTGGGATGTAAACGTAATTTATCATCCTCACCGGCTGGTAAACGTACAATAGGCAGCATAGACTTCCTTGTTGCCGTTCACATAAGCCACAAGAGGAAGAGAGGCTGTCTGTAAGCCAGTTTCGTTTTCACGCAAGTCTTATTAGTCAGATCGTGTTTGGCGTTTCTTAGAACACGCTTTTAATGCTTTGGATGAAAACCAGCGTTGACGTCATAGCCGCGCAGGTGAGCGTGGTCCGGGCCAGCGCGGTGGCAGTGAGATGTGTGCTTTTACTCCGGGTTCGTCAGACTCAGATTTGGACCCCAGACCTAGAGACCGACTGGAAGGTGCTCAGAGAGCAGCCAGGGGTGGTGGCGTAGCCCGCACCCCATCCTCCTGGGGCTGGGCCGGGGGCTGGCCTCGCCCCCCTAGAGTGCTAGGGCCTGGGACAGCCACACTGCTCTCCTCCGCGGCCCCAGGACAACCCGGAGGGCGGAGGGTGAGCTATTTCTGGGCGGACCGGGGAGAACCCAGGGGAGCAGACTCTCATGCCCTCGAGGAGGAACCGTCCACTAAAAGCCAAAGGGCTTAAGCACCCCTGGTGACCGGCTGCTCACTCTCCCAAAACAAAGTCCTCAGCTTCCTAGGGAGGTTACAGGTGGACCTCGATATTCAGTTCAGTAACTGAGCCAGTTTAGGGATAAGACTTTCTGCTTCCAGGGACAGAAGTCAGTCTTACCTGGTGCCCAGCCCAGAGCCAGGCCCCGGCGAGCGCTCGTGTAACCTCTGCTGCGTGAGGGGAGGGATGCACGCGTGAGGGGAGGGGTGGGGATGGGCCAGCTGCCCGCCGGTCTCCAGAGGCCATTTCAGACACACGAGGTGGATGGGGATGAAAGGAGGAGGGCGGAGGTTTCAGCCCTGAGTGTTTAGACTTTCCCAGCAACACCTTTCTGCCCTTCCCTTCGTTAACACAAAAGTAACGAGCTCCCCCCACCCCCACCCCCGGCGCTGCAAGGTGCATGGGCTTCCCCTGGCTCGAGAGCTGGTGGCAGGGCTCGGCCTTGTCAGCATGCCCGACCCGAATGCCTGCCTCCCCTGCCTGTGCCACCTGGAGAGGGCAGGGCGGGCTGTCTGCTGCCGCCAGCTCAGGCACCCCCGGAGCACGCAGACACCTCAGGGAAAGGAAACGCAGCCGTGGAAATGTATGCAGTGGGTCATTTTGGCCTGGTCACTGGGAGTCAGTGTATTTCCATGTACGGAACATGTGCTCTGCTCTCCTGCATGGCATGACTGAGTGTGTGTGTGCGTGCAGCCCCATGTGTAGTGCGGACGGGGAAGTCACGCGGGAGGTTTGCAGGATCGCCGCGGTACGGGCCGCAGGCTCACCTGCGTTGGAAAGCTGCTCGCACCTCTCACCTGCTTTGGGCCCTGGGCGAGTTACATAACCTAAAGCTCGGGTTCCCGCTCCGCCAGCGGGAACACTATACCCCTTGCGTCACCGTGATAGACAGTGAACGGTATGACCTCGCTATTCTCACCGCCTGGGCAGCGTGCGATCCTAACGGCTGTGACAGTGGACAGTGGGTTTAAAGGTTTAGAGGTATCTCGCTGGTTCCTGGCTGACATGGTCTCGGCCTGGTGCTGCTGCTGAACTCAGGGGCTGTTTGCACGTTTCCCCGATGAGCTCATTTAACCACAGGCTGGGCCGGGACAGTCAGGCCACCGGTGGCCCTGCACCCAGGTGTGCAGTCCTGCGGCGGATAACAGGAAACAGCAGGCCTCGCGGGGCAGAGGTGGAGTTGGTTTCCAGTCCGGGAGCTCCCGGCTGCCTTAAACCCAGGCCCCACACGTCCCGTAAGCACCTGCTGTGAGGGAGGTGGCACGGAGTGCGTGTCTCTGAGCACCGGCCGTGGATTCGAGCAGAGCTCTCCAGGAAGCGATGCTCGTTCTGAGGACAGACGTGCAGACACTTTGACCGCAGACTGAGCAGAGGAGGGTGTTCCCACCCCGGTCCTCGTGGGGAGCGTTTTGAATGTACCTTTAAGGGCCCTGAGGAGGGACGGCTGATGGAACACTCGTGAGAATAGCCCGTCGGAGCCACGACTGAGCCAGACTTCCTGGTCACGTGGCGAGGCGGTGACAGTCCCGTGGCCCCAGCTTTTCCTGGGCAGAGACCCATCCAGTCCCCCCTCTGCAGGGAGGTCGGGTGAGTGCCGGCCCCCCGTGGCGGGGAGACCACCCCCAGGCCTCTGCCGGCCCCACAGTGGGTGCAGTCCCTGCTCTTCCGGCTCTTATCCGTTACCTGCCATGGCCTGTTGTTGGCAAGGGGCCTATGAGCCTCTAATTTAAACTGCGTTTGGAGTGAATTTTGTGGGGGGTGTTGTCTTGACAAGTTTCAATGGAGAGACTATACTTTCTTAATTTATTCTAATTTTTAAATTCTAGCACTTTCCCCCCATATCCAGACTTGCCTAACTACTTCGGAGGTGGAGGGTGTGCCTCGGTATCTGTACATCCTGTACTCCATTCTCCCATTCCCCCCCCCCCATACCATCCCTTCCCTCCCTTACCCCCCACTCCCTGGGCTCTTGCTTGGGTTGAAGGCTTGATTTCTTTCTTTTTTTTTATAATATATTTTTATTGATTTCAGAGAGGGAGAAGAAGAGAGAGACAGAAATACCAATGATGAGAGAGAATCATTGATCAGCTGCCTTTTGCACACCCCACACTGGGGATTGAGCCCGCAACCAGGCCTGTGCCCTGACCTTGAATCGAACTGTGAGCTCCTGGTTCATAGATTGATGCTCAACCACTGAGCCCTGCCGGCTGGTGTCTTGACGTCGTTATGACCAGGCCCTAGAACAGTGATGGCGAACCTATGACACGCGTGTCAGAGGTGACATGCGAACTCATTTTTTTGGTTGATTTTTCTTTGTTAAATGGCATTTAAATATATAAAATAAATATCAAAAATATAAGTCTTTGTTTTACTATGGTTGCAAATATCAAAAAATTTCTATATGTGACACGGCACCAGAGTTAAGTTAGGGTTTTTCAAAATGCTGACACGCCAAGCTCAAAAGGTTCGCTATCACTGCCCTAGTACCATAAGCTTGGAGCCCAGCACATTCTTGAACCCCCTCTCTAACCGCGTCGTCAGGTGGTGGCTTAGACTCCGACCACAGCTGGTCTCCTGTTGTGCCGTCCACGCCGGCTCCCGACGGCCTCTCGGTGGTTCTGGCTTTCTCACCACCTGTGACCATCGAGCAGCACTGGGTGCCCCGTGGACACGTCTGACTGTTCGTTGTCCTTTAGACCCGGATGCTCACCCTCTCTTTGCCTCAAGCCACACAAGGGGCCTTTCTTACCCGAGCCTCGCCCATCGGTACCAGTGTTAGCCAGTGAGATGGGGCAGCCGTGCCAAGGGGAGCAGCGTGGGACTAGGGCTCCAGCCTGGCTCCTGTCCCCGCTCTGCCTCTTCCTGGCCGGGCTACTTACTCCGAATGAGCGTCACACAAAGTTGGCGCCCGGGTTCCTGTGACACACGGGGTGGCGCTGCTGGTCCTGACCGTCGCGCAGGGTTGCCCAGGTCCGTGTCCCGTCCCCGGGAGCTCCCGGTGCGAAGGGCTTGCACACTGGGAAGTGCTCTGCAGACGGAGCGGGAGGTCCGAGCGGCTTCTTCCCAGGACCCGGTTGGCGATAGTCAAGGGTGTGGAGCACCACGGGATGGGTGCTGGGGCGGTGCCTTCGCATACGGTTTCCTCTCCTAGTTGGTAGGCCTGCTGGTTTTCCTAGCCCACTGCCGTCTTTCCCGGAATCGCCTGTGGTGATCACCCCGGGAGTGGCCGGCTGGGTGTCAGGGAGAGGCAGGCCTTGGGTGCAGGGGGCTGGCAGCCGGCAGGCAAACATTTAACATGTTAAGCGCCTGTTTTGTCTTCCGGAAGGAAAGACAAAAAATGAATGACCGGGCACTTAATGTGTTAACTCTTCAGGCAGCGGATTTGTTTTCTCCTGGAGCCGGCAAGCCTTGCGGTTCAGGATGTTCTTTCAAAGCTGAAGCAAAGGTTAGCTGCTGTGGAAACTTGGTGCATTGGGTAATCTGCTTTCAGGAGTCTCCGCTTGCTCCCAGTGGCGTCCTCATCGCGCTCTGTCGCCACCGCAGGCCTCATTAGCGCCGGAGAGGCCGTGGGTCCTGCAGAAGCGGGGCCTCCCCAGCACAGAGCCGCATCCCCCTCCCTCCTGCTCCGCCTGAGCGTCACCTCAGCACGGACCCTTCCCCGAGCCTGGCCTCTGTGCTGGGCATGAGGCTGAGCATGCATTTGTTGTCACTGTGCTAGAGGAGGAGGGAGGCAGCTCCGACCCTGCATCCTCCGTTTCCATGGTAACAATCGAAACCAGCCATTTTCAACCCGTGTGCCGCGAGGATTTTTTAAAACTCGCCATACCTGACTATTTAGTCAGGGGCACTGACCTCTTTCCCCTTAGATTGTGAAATAAAAAAAATGACACCACCAGCACAAGAGCTGTCCGGCGTGAATGCCCTGCCTCGAACCATAACATACAGGTCATATAACAGAGTTACATTTTATCCGTCACGTTGCATCATAAGGTTGCATCTGGTTGGTTAATTATTGGTACCAGAGATCCTTATATACAAGTATAGGCATCTGATTTTTTAAAAAGTCACTTCGGAGCAAAAAGGATAGGTAATTACTATTATTTTTATTTTTTTGTAAATCAATCAAAATTATACCTTTTTTGGCCAGCATTTTAGTCGTTGGTTTGTGTGCCAGGAGATAGAGAGGTTGGGAATTGCTGTTCTGAACCAATAGAGCACGTCCACGTTGGGAAGACAGTCACCATAGAGATTCATTCAGTCCTGCCTGAGGCACCTAGTTTAACAGACAAAAGAAGTAAGATTAGACTCCCGTCTTTCGAATGTTGAAGGATCTAGATCAGCGGTTCTCAACCTGTGGTTTGTGACCCCTTTGGGGGGTGGAACGACCCTTTCACAGGGGTCGCCTAAGACCCTCGGAAAACACATATATAATTACATATTGTTTTTGTGATTCATCACTATACTTTAATTATGTTCTATTTGTAACAATGAAATTGGGGGTCACCACAACATGAGGAACTGTGTTAAAGGGTCGTGGCATTAGGAAGGTTGAGAACCACTGATCTAGACAAAGGACGCATGGAAATAGTTAGAGAAAACGTGGCAGGTGTGACCCCAGACATCTCCCAGGCGCCCTCCAGCGAGGTGGATGAGGTCCTTCTAGCCACTTGACAAACTGACAGCTCCCGTCTATCCAGCTGCTGCCCTGGCTGGGCGGTGAGGCCATGCACTGACCCAGGGGGCAGGGGGAGGTTGGCCGCAGGTGAGGAGGGACATGGAGGAGGCAGCGGGAGTCCGGATGAAGGAGAGAGCCGCTTGGGTCGTAGCGAGAAGAGACGAGAACGGAAAGCAGAGGCGGGAAGGGTGGTTCTGAGAGCTGTGTTCAGTGGGCGATGTTTGCGTTCATGTTGACCCTGGCTAAGGTGAGGTCTCACCGCTGGGTCCCGGGCTGCAGCCTGCCCAGGCAGCGTGCCCCCAATAACGTTACAGTCGGGAGAACGAGAAAGGAGTAGAATTCACTTTTACCCACTTGTATAGTAAGTGAGCAGAACTACTGGTTCCTGAATTGACGATTAAGGGGCTTGGCCTCAAAGAATCCAAATTCCCATATGTAGTTTTAATAGTTGACTCCTTTTGGTAAGATTTCTTTTTTTTAAAAAAATATAATGGGCTCTTTTTGAGTTGAACACACTCTTTCTTATTAAAGTGGTAGGCGGACTCCCATGTGGAAATGCGCTTTTGGTTTTTATTCCTGCTGTGCCAGTGATTTGGGTCTGATGTAAGTGCTGTCGTCATTTTTAACTGACGGAAGACTATCTGGAAAAGCGGGGTTCTGGCGGGAGGCAGTAGCCCCAGACATGTAGTATTTTCCAGGTCAAGCTCGGAAATGCCCATGTAAGAAAAAGTCTCGTGTGTCCATGCTCCTGCCTCTGAGAGTCACTCTGACACCCACACCACACCTCGGGGAGCCCCCACTTGTCTGGAGAGTTTGCGAGGTTCGGCTCAGCTCTCCCGAGAAACCCTGTGAACCAGGGTATGGAGTCCCGGTTCAGCGGTAAAGGCCCTGTCAGGCGCAGCAGCTCTTTCTTGCCAGAATTTGAGATGAAAATCCCCCGATGGGAAGTGATTTGGAGTCGGGGAGGGTAGGGGCACGCCTCGGAGCTGTTCACCAGGAAACTTAAGCGTTTCGTTTTGTTCGCTAGGTTTTCCATTCTGTTACCCTTTTTTCTTTAAAAGTATATTTTTATTGATTTTTAGAGAGAGAGGGAAGGAGAGGGGGAGAGAGAGAGAAACATTGATGAGAGAGAAACTCAACACCCATCAGCTGCCCCCTGCACGCCCCTGCTGGGGGTCAAGCCCACAACTGCTGACGGGGAATCGAACCCGAGACCTCCTGGTGCGCAGGTCCAGGCTCAACCACTAGGTCACACAGGCTGGGCACAGTATGTTGCTCTTGAAGCTTTTAAGGTACTTTCTTCTTCAACACAAATATTGCCCTCAGGCCTGGTCACGCGTCCCCGTGAACCTGGCAGTGATGCGGTGAGCGTGAGTCCCTCGGGGCTCTGTCTGGCTCCGTATCTACAGGTAAATCAAGTTAGCGGCTTTCTGAGCCTGTTCCTTCAAAGGGAACCGAGGCGGCGGAACTCGGGAACTGCGTCCCGCCGGTCTGTTCCTGGCTCTTTCAGTGTCTCCTTTGTTTAGAGGACATCCTGGAAGGGTGGATGAAGGAGAGCTGGTCGCCTCCCAGCTGGCCCCCCCCTGTCCTGCACCCCTCAGCCAAGCCCCAGCTCCAGGGAACCTGGGCCCACCCTCCCCTGGGCCTCCTGGGCCCACATGATCTTCCAAATACATTTTTTAACCAAATCATAGTCACCTTCCCAAAATGAGTTCTTGGTGAATACAGTTTTCTTCCTCATCCCCTTACATTTTGTTTAAATGGTGGTGACATATACATAACATTACATTTATTATCTTAACCATTTAAACATGCCCAGTTCGGTTCACTGAATACCAGTACATTCACGTTGCGGCAGCCCTCACTCCATCCAGGCCCAGCCGTTTCTCGTTGTTTCTCGTCTCGTGGGAAGAAGCTGTGTCTCCATGAAACTCCAACTCTCCTCCCCCCTCCCCTCGGCCCGGTAATCACTGCTCTTCTTTCCGTTCCTCTGAGCCTGTCTGTTCCCGCTGCCTCCCACGCGAGCTCATGCAGTGTCTCCCTTTTGTCCTCAGCATCATGTCCTCAAGGGCCACCGGTGGTTAGCATGTGCCAGGATCCCCCATCTTTTGAAGGCGGAGTGAGAATCCATTGTGTGTTTAGACCACATTTGTCCATTCTCTCATCATTGGACACGTGGCGCGTCCCCGCCGTTTGGCTGTTGGAAGTCCTGTGGCTGTGAGCATGGGGGTGCAGATCTCTCTCTGAGACCTTGCTGTCAGCTCCTGTGGACGTACACCCAGAGCTGGAATGGCTGGACGGTATGGCAGCTCTCGGTTTAATTTCTGGAGAATCAGCACCCTGTGCTGTATTGTGGCTGCACCGTTTCGCCTTCCCATCGACAGTGCGTGTGGACTCCAGTTTCTCCACGTCCTCACCAATGCTTGCTTTCCCTGCTTTTTAGGTTGTGGCCATCCCAGTAGGTGGGGGATAGTAGTATCTCCCTTTAAAAAATTCTCAGTGCCCAGCTAAGGCCGCCCCGGGGTAGAGGCTGAGGATGGGGGGGTTGCCGGGTGGGGCCATGACCCTGCCGTTTGTTAAGAATTATGGCACAGGTTCTCTGCTTCTCCATGGCGGGTATTTCCAGAGGCCTCCTGGGGTCTCCGGGGTGGAGGCTGGTGGGCAACGGGGTAGGCGTGGAGCCCATTCCAGGGAATAGAAAAACGATGCTGGCAGGGCGCCAGGTTGGACGCGAAGTCCATGGTTTGACGGGCTGTAGGTACTGGCCTCCCCTGAATGAACGTGTTGTGTGTGTGTGTCTCTGTTTTCTAGGCTCAGACCATGAATTACGTGGGGCAGTTGGCGGGCCAGGTGTTTGTCACCGTGAAGGAGCTGTACAAGGGCCTGAACCCCGCCACCCTGTCCGGATGCATCGACATCATCGTTGTCCGCCAGCCCAACGGGAGCCTGCAGTGCTCCCCGTTCCACGTCCGCTTCGGCAAGATGGGGGTGCTGCGCTCCCGAGAGAAAGTGGTGAGAGCAGGGGCCCCGGGACCCCGTTCTGTGGCTTCCCATCTCCGGAGCTTGTCGTAGGCCCAGGTTTTTAGCTCTCTGTTGGGTAGGGCTGTTCACTGAGTACACGGTGAACTCAGGTTGTTCTGGTTACGATGGCTGTGTGGACGACTCCAGAACTCAGTGGCAGAAACCAACTGTTTATTCAGCTCCTGGGTTCTGTGGTCAGGGATTCGGACAGCAGGGCTGACTGTGTCTGCCGCCGCCATACCAGGGCTCAGCTGGAGTCTCCAGGCCGGGGCTGGAACCCTCCGGAGATGCGTCACTCACATGACCGGTGGCTCTTGGCTTTTGGGCCCTCCATGTGGTCTGGGCGCTCCTCACCCCATGGTGGCTGCCGAGCATGGGCCGGGGGGGGGGAAACAGAGATAAAGAGAGAGTGAGAGAGAGAGAGAGAGAGAGAGAGAGAGAAAGAGCCCAGCCTATTGGACGCTCCCTTTTCCTCTGACCCAGCCTCTGAAGTCACATACCCAAACCCCCCCTGGGCCTCCCGGTGGTGGCGGTGTGGGGCGGGTGCAGACTCATTTCCCGGGTGGGGAAGAGCAGGCAGGACCAGGCTGACTGACTGAGACCTGGAACTGTGAGCTCTCTGTGGCGTGTGTGCGATTCAAGTGCACGCGTGTGGAGGCGTGGTCGGGGAAGTATGTTTCCTGATGTGGAGACGTGCGTTTTTCTTCCAGGTTGACATAGAAATCAACGGGGAATCTGTGGATTTACACATGAAGCTGGGAGATAACGGAGAAGCCTTTTTTGTTCAAGAGACTGATAACGATCAGGTAAGGAAGGCTGGGGGTCAGGGCCACTTCCTCGCTCCGCGCAGGAGACAGCGGAGTGTGGGTGGAGCACGCTGCCGGCTCCCGACGGTGCGGACGGTGGCAGCAGAGGAAGCAGGCGCTGTCTGTCCTGGCATCTGAGCCTGATGGGCTGCTGTGTGCTGAGTCCACAAGACTCGGCAGCTCGGCTGCTTCCGTGGGCTCACCGTTTCCAGGGGGACAGAGGAACCCAATCGCCTGGCCTGAACCCTGGTCCATAGCATACAGATTGTACTGCTGTCAAACGCAGATGGCCGAGTGGTCGATTTTTGTCTAGTGAGTGACCAGATTGCTTGTATTTTTATTATTTTATTTTATTATTATTTTTTAAAATTCTCACCTGAGGATATTTTTCCATTGATTTTTAGAGAGAGTGGAAGAGAGAGGGAAAGAGACAGAAATATCGATGTGAGAGAAACACATCAATTGGTTGCCTCCTGCCCGCGCCCTGACCAGGGCCCAGTCTGCGGAAGACTCTGCAACTAAGGTACATGCCCTTGACCGGAATTGAACCCCGGACACTTCGGTCCAAAGGCTGACACTCTATCCACTGAGCTGAACCGGCTAGGGCTATTTTTATTATTTTAAAATGTCTAAGCGTTGTTGAGATAATTCTCGTACCATACAGTTTAGCCATTTCAAGTGCTCAATTCAGTGTTTTTTAGTGTTTTCACAGATGTGTGCAACTATTGCCACAGTCAATTCTAGATCACGGTCATCACCTCCAAAGAAGCTCCGTGCCCTTTCGTTATCACCTCCCCATCCACCACCCCCTCCCCACCCCCGAGCCTTACGCAACCACCCATCTACTTTCTCCATCGATTCCCCTCCTCTGAGCTTTCATGTGAATGGGACCCTATAGTATGTGCTCTTTCACGCCTGTCGTCTTTTACTTACCATAATGTGTTCCGGTCATCCGTGTTCTAGCATGTGTCAGTACTTTGTTCCCTTGTGCGGCGAATGGCCACCTTTTGTTTATCCTTTCATGTCAACGTTGATGGACACTTGGGCTGTTTTCCCCCTTTGGCTGCTGTACATTCGTGTACAAGTTTTCACATGGACATAGGTTTTCATTTCTCTTGGGTGCATACCTGGGAGCAGAATTGCTGGGCCCCACGGTAACTGGGTAACATTTGAGGACCTGCCAGACTGCTGTCCCAGGCTGCTGCACCGCTTCCATCCCCATCAGCAGCACGTGAGCGTCCCCGTGTGTCCGCATTTTCACCTGTGCGTGTGATCTGCCTGTGTGACCGCAGCCAGCCTCGTGGGTGGGAAGTGGTATCTCATTCTGGGTCTGACTGGCTGCAGACCACAGAGGGCCTTGTTGGCTGGCCGCCCAGGGTGCCGGTGGGTGGGACGGGGCCAGAGGCCAGCGTGTGTTCTGTCCCAGGCGATGCTCCTTTCTGTCCCGAGAGGCGGCTACAAACTGGGAGCTGTGTCCTTCCTCACCAGATCGCAGTAGGGCGCCGCCTCCCCTCCGCACACAGGTGCACCCCTCCCCTTTTCAGTCAGTGTCAGGTGTGTTTCCCCCCACGTTCCGCGTGGCTCAGGGTTTGGGGTCTGGAAGAGGAGCCGCACACAGATGAATGAAAAGAGACAAGAGATAATTTGGAAACATTGGGGGACCAGGCGGGCAAGTCCAGAAGGACTTCCACTGATGCTCAGGCCGCTCCAACCTTTTATTTGATCTGGGGTAGCCCTTAGGTAAGGAGGTTTCAATGACACACAGATTAGCTCACCAGCAGACAATTTCCAGAAATAGGCAGAATATCTAATCAACAATAATCAGCAAGGATTTACATGAGTATCTAAGGAATTAAGTGAACTAAGGTGGGGATGATGCTTCAGCTACCATTATTTAGATTAACTGGGTGGTGCACAGCCCTGACCTTTGCTAGGACTTCAAAGGTTACTAGCTTTTGGGGGTCTCTGTCTATACTCAGCTAGTGAGGACAATAAATGGACTCCGGCACGTCAGGGGAACTTCCTTCTCTGCTCTGGGCCCAGTGTCAGCGCTCGCTCTGTTTCTTCTTCGTTCGGTTCTGGGAGCCGCTGGGTGAGAGGTCTGCCCATTCCTTCCAGCCTAGGGCTGCGACTCTCCAAGCACGTGTCCCACACTGAGAACCATGACCAGCCAGCTATTAGGGTGACAGGCTGTGTGTGTCTTCCTTTTGGTGTGAAGAGAAGGACCAATATCTACCTCCCTGACATCCACCTGCCGGAGGCGCTCTTGTGTAGGCGGGCACCAGGGGCGCGGCAGGGGGCACTGGCCAGCGGTTCCCTAAAAATTATCATTGACAACTTAATTCATTGCATATTGAAAACTACACACACACACATACACACACACACACACACAGGCTCTCTTACACACACGCTCTTACACCATCTCACATCATATTGTTGTGATTCTGACGCTTTTAACATTTGACTTGAATCTCTCACACACATGCTCTCTTATACACACGTGCACTCTCTTACACACACACACACACACACAGGCTCTCTTATACCACGTGCACTCTCTTAACACAATACACACACAGGCTCTCTTACACACACACACTCACTTACACAACATAAACAAAAGATATCTTATAGACACACGGGTGATCACTTTTACACACAGAACCCACTTACACACACATTATTGCTCTCTTTACACACAGACAGGGACTCTCTTTACGCACCCTACACGATAAAGGGCTGTTTTTATACGTCATCTTTTAGTGAGGGGGGTTGAGGGG